CAATCCCTTTTTATTTTTCCAATACAAGTTGGAAATCTTGCTTTCCATGAGACATTTTCAAAATGTTTAAAGCATTGTATAGGTTAAAGAACACATATCTGAGTGCCAAATTAAGCCCCAGCCACCAGTGTGCAAGCCTTGGGCCAGAGACGGGGTAGATTGCACTCCAGCCCTCCCATCCTGCCATGTGTATTTCACGGCCTTGGTGCCTGCATGTGTCTCCCATGGCAGTGAGGTATACAGTTACGTTAGGCACTTAGTTATCCTTAAAAGATAATATTTGTCCCATTAGTAATAGCTATAAAGGACTAGAACCACTCATTGTATTCCCAGGTTACCCACCCCCAGGACTAGTGCAGTACTGGGTGCACAAAATAGTACCCAGTCCTGTGTGCTTACTGAATAACCAGGAGCTGCAACTTTTAATGACAGGATGGAATTGGTTATGGAGGAGGTTCTGGAAGCCCATGGTTTTTGGCAAAACGGGTATAATATTTGATAAAGAAGCCAATGCACCTAAAACCTCTAAGAAAGACTCCTGGTCCTGGTGTAGGGGAGCCAAATGGGGTCCTGCAAAGAGCGGGACTGTCCTTTGTCAAAAGCCACACGGCACCAACCCTTTGGGCCTAAATTAATGTATTCGTGCCAACCACCAATTTCTCTTCCCGCCGCTCTTTATTTCCTCCTTCGTTGTCCCCTGCTCACCAGGGGGAGTTAACAGACAACTCAAGGACACATCTCACTTACCAGGAGCAAGACTTGGGCTCGGGGCAGAAAAGAAGCCCATTATTCCCAAATCTGTGACTCTAAGGGCGATCACACCTTCTGCAGCTGAAGGGAGTACAAAGAAACACTTGAGCCCAGTGGCATCGGCCCTACTTTCTTCACTGGAGGGAAAATGGGCCATTATTCTCGCCTTGCCCCATTCCCACCAGCCCTGCGTTTAGCAGGTTTCTTGCTGGACACTCTAACAACATATTAGCATATTTTGCATTTAAAAAGGGCTTGGAAAATGAATTAAATGATTGGCATGGTGTTTCAAACGTTTTTTTCCAAACTACTAGTAATTGTGTGGTTTTAAAATTCCCCATTCCTGCCTGCAATGCCCTGGGCCAGGCAGCCGGCTTAATCAAGAGACGCTATACCAGGCGGGGGCATATTTTAAGGCTCATGATACCCAGTGATTGCCTGAACAGTACCTGGAGACTTGCTAAAGAGAAGCTTGTCCTAGTTTTTCAGCAGAGCTTGCAGTTCATTTTCCTTCCTTACAGAGCTGAGATTTACACCAATTCAAAACCTCTTTTTTATGGAAGGGCCTGGGTCAGCCCTTCCAAGCTGCTGGGGCACCAGGCAGTGTAGACACCATCCAATTCCTGACACGGAACTAACAGAGGTACAGCTAGGGAACAGTGCTAGGTTGTGCACTTGTTCACAGTGCACAGAGCTACTCTGACCCAGAGCTGTGCACCACAGGGCAGATGTTTTTGGAAAGGTGGAAGCTTCCAGAACATGCTTGGCAAAATGCTAATCAGGTCCAACTTCTTCATTTCTTGGGCAAAGGAGCTAAAGAAAGACTATTACTTATCCAGGGTCACAAGCCATTTTTACTCTTTCATGAGAATAGATTCAGATTCTCCTGACTCTTAATACAGGTTTGTTAACTTCACGAGTCCATAGAAAAGAAAAATTAACCAAGAGTTAAGAAGTTGGCATTTGACAGGGTTCCAAGGGGAAGGTTTATGAGGTCTGAGATGGAGGAACTTAGAAAATGACAAGCCATGGGAGAACCTTAGGCTTTTAAAAATAACAGAGGCTTGTTCCTAATGAGTATAATTAATGATGATAACAGTAATGGTAACAATTATATCTGTGTGCTTTCTCAGTCTCATGCCCTGTCCCAAGTGCAGGACATGTATTAGCTCATTTAATTCGCACAACCACTCTGTGAAGCAATTTAGTGCTGACATGTCCCCATTTTTTAGATGAGAAAACTGAGGCTGAAGAAGTTGGGTAACTGGCCCAAGGTTACCCAGGTAGATCTGTCTGACTTCAGCATCAGAATCTTCAGAGGAAAAAAAAAGGAGAGAACGCATAAGTAAATAATTAAGTAGTGGCACTATCAAGGCTGAAGCCCCCTGGAAAGGAGTAAGAACAGCGGCAAGAGGAGGAACAGCAGAGCCAGAGCACAGGAGAGCGCCGCGGGCACTGAGACGGTTCTCGGGCGGAGAGAGCAGAGGCGGGCGCAGCGCGGGGAACAAGGGCGCCTCTGTGAAGTGGACAGCAGCAGAGACCTAGGGCTCGGGAGAGGAATCAGACAAAAATTCTTGTCTTTTCAGGAGCTGGAGAGAGAAAGTGCCTGTTGTGTGTTTGTGTGTGTGTGTGTGTGTGTGTGTGTGTGTGAGATCTGGAGGAGGAGGATCAGACAGACAGACAGACACGGCAGGAGAGGTGGCAGGGAGTGCATCCTCATGCCGGCTGAGCCTGGGTCATCACAGGGTCATAATGTGGAAGAAGAGAAACCAAAATCTAGGGAGACAGGGAAAGCCGCAGCCCACGGGCGTGTCTGCCAGCGTGTGGCTAAACACGGCGTGAGAGGTGCTGTCCCCATGACACGTCTGTGTTACCAGAGAGTCCGTGGTGCTCCATGCGATCACCCAGTGGCCACAGACTGCCAGGGACATGTGGGCGCAGCCCTGGTGGACGTGGGGCTGACAAGAGAAGGGAGCTGCTCTGAGGGTGTGAGTGGGTCATTTCTTCTCCGGTGTTTTCCCCATGCTTCCTAGGAGTGATGGGCCGTGGGTGCCCAGGGGCTCTGGGAAGGCTCGTTCCAGGCTGTTCTCGTTGGAAACGGACGCAAGGACAAAGGGTTTGAGCCCCACCAGGGTCTTGTTTTTTATTTTATTTCACAGGGAGAACCTAGGAGATGGCAGATAATAATTCCTTTATCCACTACAAATTGAGGACATTGATCTTTTTTTAACCAGTCATGAAAACACTGCATTTCAGCAAAAAGTCAGAAAGCATTTACTTTGAGCCAGCAACTGGATAGAATATTACACAGCTGTTTTAATGGTGGTCATGAGGGCTGCGTAATGATAAAGGTAGGTGCTTGCATGGGACATTACATAAAACAAGGAATATATAAAGCATATATGTAGTAGAATAACATTTTCTGAAGATATCCAGATATGACCAGAGTCAGAGAGGTTAAGTAACCTGCCCAAAGTCACACAGCTGGCAAGTGGATAAACCAGGACTCATCAGCCCAGGCAAAGTGTGTCCTCTTAATCACACCTATGCTAAATGACCAAGCGCATCTTAGAATATTTCAATTTCAAATCTGCAGATCCAAAGTAATTTGCTCAACTCTGCAAAAGTTGCATTGAAACAAGACCTGTTTCCTTTTACTCTCACTAAAGAGCTTTAAGAACTTATAACTGGGATTAGAGTTGGGTGATGATGAACTATGATGGTTTTTTTCTTTACTTTTCAAATTTTATTGTGTGTGCGTATATTCCCTTTATAAAGACATGAACATATGTACATCCATATAAATTAGAGAGAAAATGAGAATAAGAACAATATGAAAATTCTCCCACCTCATTCTAGGAACTGGGGAAGAAAGTGCCTCTATGTGAGTACTGCTGGGGACCAAACATAAAAGACCTGGTTCCACCTTCAAGTGCTAAGGAACTTACAGGGTGGAGACCAGATGTACAAGCAAATCTCTGTGTCAACAGTTGCACAGCAAGTAATTGCAAGAGTTGTATGCTGTGAATTTTCAGAGTGCCAAAAGGATACAAAATAAACAACCCCGGACAGAGTTCATCTTGACAGGATCTCTGTATATACATGGGATAAGTTTGGAGTGGCATTTGGAAATAGCTCTGGCCCTGGACTGGTGTGGACAGACTGTGGACAGACTGTGAAGGGGAACCCTGTCGGTGATGAAGAAGTGGGTTTGTCCCTAGGCACACATCGGGGGACCTGAGCATGTTAAGTTTCGGCATGACAGAACATCAAAGGAAAACACATCTGAGCAGCTGGTATCAGACCCCCGTCTCTGATCTTTAGCCCCATCCCGGAAGTCATTTGAGATGTGAAAAGTTGTTCCATAAGCTGGTCCGGCTGCTACCCCTACAGCTTTCAGACCCCCGCCCTCCTTTCCAAAACAAGACCCAGTTTAGTGCGGCACCCCACTGGTCACTCCACTTGCATTTGCTGGTCAGAGCTAGTCGGGGTATAATTCAGCTAAATTAATTGTGCAAATTCCTAAGGGGGAATAAGAGGATGAGAAATTGGGATTTAAGAAGTGCATTTCAGAAATGCTGTCACATTAGAGCTTCATTTCAGTCCCTTGGGGTGGCCACCAAGTAAACAGCTCAATTTCCATCCCTGCTGGAGGTACAGAATGCAGCATTCACACTTGCCAGCAGATAAATGTCTCCTGTCTTTGTTGGTGCTTAATGGCTTTTAGTAGAGTTAAGGCTGGGAAGAAAGGAACTGACTTCCTCTTATTGGGTAAAATTGAAACACCAGGGAGACAATTCCATTTCAGACAGACCCTTTCCTTCTCAGATTACTGACCCGCAGCCCAGCCAGCTCCTTTCAGCTCATTCAGGTAAAATGGAAGACAGTGGCCATCGCCTAGGGGGAGGGGAGGGTGGAAGAACTGATGAGCCTTGGGTTTGGGATTTGTCAGCAGAGCGGAGATTTGCATTTCTAATAAGGGCCGTGGCCGAGTGTGCTGCAACCCAGTGGCTGTGGCCGTGCATCTCTGTAGCTCTCCAAGTGCCCAGTTTGCAGGGAGCACAGGAAGAGCCTTCAGCATAAACAAGTAGCCGTGGGAGGAGAGCGGAAAGCACGGGGTGGTGGGGTGGCAGAGGGCCTTTAAAACGGTATTGCAGCAAGCCACGCCAGACACCCTGGCGTGTATTCCTCGTGTGTGCCCGTCCCTCGCACGCCCTTTGTGCAAGAGAAACTTACTGAATGTTCCGCTCTGAGATTTTGAGATTTATTGTTACTTCTCCATAAAGCAGTAACCAGCAGCGTCTATCCCAGCAGTATTTATGCAGCAGGAAACTGGGAAAATAAAAACAATGTTCAACAGGAGGTGAATGGCAAAATAATTCAACAATTAAATAAATTAATGGTGAAATAAGTGGTAGAAACCCTTAAGTCATACGGTGAATCTACTTAGTAATGTGATTTTATAAAATGTTAAATAAAAAAAATGCAGGATATACAGTATATATGTAGTTTATATTTAAAAACACACACACCATGAAAATACAGCAAAATGTTAACACAGTTAAAATCCTTAGCCACCAAATCAGAAGTGATTGTTTTTCTTCTTTTATTTCTAAGGTTATTACAAAGGATATATTTTTTGTGTGATTATAGCAGTTATATGTTGAAGCAGGGAAACATCCTATGCCTAACATCCTATTAGGGCATTCTATGCCCTAATTTCTTTTTTTTTTCCCCTGCCTTCTTGTATATCTCATGCACGCACGAGAACATGGCTTTGCTGTGTGTGGGCCATCGGTGCTCTGTTCAGCAAGCGTTCTATTGCTAACAGGGGCAAAACACACGGCAGAAGCACAGGACAAAACTTGAACATTTCCAGTTCCCCTCCCCCATCGTTCGCTCACCCATGAGTTCATCTAAACTCTTCTTCAACTTGTTTGTATTTTTAGCTGGTACAGCCTCTCGGGCCCAACGAGTTCCATGTGTTTTCCACCCTCGGTGTGAAGTGGCAGAAACCTGCCCAGCCCGTATCCTCAGATGACCTCTTCCGGATTCCAAGGGGTCCTCCTTGTTTTCCACATTTCTAGCATTAAGGGAGCAAACTAAAAACAGCAATTAGACGATTGCAATTAGCAGAGCACACTCGCACCTAAGATCAGTTTTGCGGACTTGTAGAACTTGGTGTTAGAAGAGAGCTTAGACGGTGTTTAGGCCAGTGTTTTCCTAATAGTCCACAAAATGGGAATTAACATTTTCAGAAACCAGTGGAAACTGTACAGGACCCACAATATGTCGGCCCTGGATGCCTGAAATATCACAGGGTCATAGGGGCATTTGTTTTTGTTTTCTCTCTGGGCTGGATGGCAATGATCACCTTGTTTTGTTCAGAAACTCCAGCAATTGTATACTCCAGCAATATACATGCTTGGTTATTTTGTTGACGTCTGAGCTAATTAACGTATGAGAGACAGAATCTTTTAAAATATGGATCGCGGAGAAGGTGGACATCTATAGGACTCTGCTGATCTGGGCTGGATCTGTGAGGGGAGAGCACGGGAATATTTTGGCACTGCCTGACGGATGAGAAAATGGACTCCAGAGTGGACTGGGAATAACTTTGAATTCGTACATGCTCCATCTGTGGCGTTTCTTTCCAGACTGAGTCCTCTGTTTAGAAAATGATTGATTATTTTAATTGCCTTTCTAAATCCTTCAACCTTTTCCAACTGTGGAAACACAGACTTTCAGGTTCGGTAGAGTGCAGCTGGGAAAGAAAGCGTGCTCTGGAATCTGACAGGCCGGGTTCACACCCTGGCCCTCCCACTTAGCCACCCGTGATCCCAGCTTGAACTTCTCTGTGCATCAGTTTCCCCAAGAGCAAAATGAGAATAATGATAGAATCTGCCTTACAGAACCATTGTGAGGATTAACCAACGTAATGAATGGAAAGTGCTTGTGCAGCGTCTGGTCCCACAGTGTGCGTAGCCATCCTCGTCACCGTCGTTGTGGGTGCTGTTGGGGTTTTGAGGGAGGACCATGGCCAGGACATAGTGGCAGATTTGAATCCACTTTGCTTTGCTGGACCAGTGGCAGTGACATCCTTGTCTATGTTGTTTGCTTTGTCCTTTAGGGGAGAACAAATACCTCCCCATTCAGTCAGCACCCATTTTAGGGAGAAAAGCAAGCCCTGGAGGACCAATGTGACTTGCTCAAGGTCACACAGCTTGTCACGGCCGAGTGGGAGAAGAGGCTGAATCTGCTGTTCACCTGTCTACAGCTCTTTGCTCGCTGGTGCCCTGTTCCATCCGGATGCCTCCTTTGATCCTCCACACCAGGCAAACAGGGAAAAACAACCAGATATGTGGAGACTCTTGTTCTGACCACTGAGTGTTCACTGTGTCCCTGGCACTTGGTTAGTCTCTCTCTCTTTTTTTAACAGCAGCATTAGGTACTGCTTCCCCTTTCTCCCTTCCCACCTTCCCCTGACAGCTCCCTGCAGGGACCCGACAGCCCCACCTGAGCACTCTCCAGTGGTGGGGGGAATGACAAAGGCTCCAGGAGCCTGGAGAACAGCAGGGAGTCAGCTGGTGGCTTCTGCCTGGTGTGAAGCCCTTGTTCTCCCCAGGTTCAATCCAGTGGCACATCTCGGGAATTCCCTGAAGCATTTGGCCCCTTCCAGGGCTCTGAGGCCCCTCTGCCTGGAAGCCTCCCTACCTAACACCTCCTGAGCACACCTTGGAGGTGCTAGACATTCTGGGGCTATGGAACCCACTTCCTACCTGCAAGGGGGTCCTAGCAGGGAGAGTCAGGCACAGACAGTGAACTGAAACATGGAGTTCTTGAACATATGGGTGGGGGGGAGGGGGCATTCCAGGCAGAGGAACCTCTGCACACACTTAGTGTGTAAGTGAGCACTTAACTGTTCTCCAGTTGTTTGGAGTATATTTCATCCCGACAGCCAAACTGTTAGTGGTTCTGATACAACATCGTAAAGAAGCCTCCTCTTTGTTCCTTAGCCCCTGCATTTGTGAGGCTGATCAACAGCTCAAAAAGCACCTTCACATATGTGATGGTATTTGACCTGCTCAGCACGTTTGTGAGGTCAGAGGTTATCCCCATTTTGCAGATGAGGAAACTGAGGCCCTTAGAGAGCAAACTTGGTGGCTCAGCTACCTAGTGACTGAGCCTAAACTTGCACCCCATGGTGAGGTCTGGCTCCAAGTCCACCCTAGCGCTCACGCTAGGTGTGGTCAACTCTGGGGAGATGTGTGTGGATTCAGGGCTGGACTGCAGAGCCTGTTCTTAGAGACGGGGAGAAGTGACAAACACGTGAGCATGAGCTCCTAGGTATAGTGGGAAGGGCACTGGCATTGGAAGTGAGACCCCTGTCTCAAGTTCTAGCTCCACCAGGTATGAGTTGCATGGGCTTGGGACAATCACTCTCTTTGGGACTCAGTTTCCCTAGTTGGCAAATGAAAATGTCATAGGGAATTTTATCTCATTAATCTACAGACCTGTCATTGAGAACAGTGGTCATCAGCAACTTCTTCTCTCTTAGGACCACAGGCCCACCAGGCCTGCCTCTTCCAGCTGCCATCCTACCACCTCCAGCTGCTGTCCTACCACTTCTATCCCTGAGTCTCTTCCAGTGACTGTACATTCCTTTCCCAACAAACTCAACCTCTGGCTAAGTGGAGTCATGCTGGGAGCTTGTGAAAAAGCTGAATCCCAGGCTTCACCCTAGAACCTGATGACTTTGAATCCCTGCAACCAAGGCCCAGGAACTTCCCTTTCTCCCCTGAACACTCCAGGAAATTCTGACCGTGAGCAGTTATTGCCTAAGCTCAGCAGTTCTCAAACTTTGGTGGGCATCCGAATCACTTGGCAGCCTATGAAATGGCTGGGCCCCACCCTCAGAATTTCTGATTTGGGGTGTGGCCCCAAAATTTGCATTTCTAACAAGTTCCTAGGTGATGTGGGGACCACACTTTGAGAACCGATGCCTTGGCTCCTTCCCTGAGAGCCCAGCTACAAACACCAAGGGACGTTCACTCACAGGCAGTGGTTGGGTGGAGGAAGCCCATCAGCACAGAGGCTTTTTAACGGGGACCTTCGTAGTTACTGGGCCAGTTAGAACAACTGCTGTTTACTCTGGCACATGCTACATGCCAGGCCTTGGGCTAGATGTCCTACAATCAGTAGTTCTCATTATTTCACAGGGTTTGGAGATTGAAAAATCAATGATCAATGAGATTAAGCAATCATCTGAGATTATACTCATTACAAGTGCAATCAGAACTTTCTGAAGCAAAGTTTGGGCTATTTCTTTAGCTCACCAGGCCTCTCTTTGCTGCCTCAGCCACGAGTGACTCTATTATGGGAATTTCAAACTGTTTTCCAAGAGTGGGTCACCACACAGGTTCAGGGCTGGTATTTTTGGTTGGAGGAGGCTTTCATTAGTTCCCCACAAATTGCACCCTGCTGGTCGTGGCCTTTGGCCCGCACCGTGGGACTGCACTGCTCAGTGCTCACTTTTAAGAGAGACCCTTCCCTCATGTAAACAGGGAATGTTGCATCTATAGCGCTGGGTGGAAGTGCTGAGCTCCTGTTGGATCTGGGAAGAGCCCACCTTGGTGAGGTTCTGCCTGGGCTCTGGGCTCCAAGTTCTGTTTGCCTGTAAGGCTCTTGGAAAAGAACAGTTGACACCAGATCCCAGGGAACATGCACCAGATAGACGTTGAGGAGCTCACGCCATGACCCAAACCCTTCCAGCAGGTGCATCTGAGTGGGGAGCTTCTTTCCCCCTAACTTGTGAAGATTCATCTGTTGTTTAATAGGAAGCCCATTGATTTGTAAAGAAGTATAAAACACAAAGTAATTAGAGAGGAAATACAGGCGGCTGTGCGGGCTTTCTCTACACTTAGCTTTTTGTTCTTACCATTTACCAGCACACACACACACACACACACACACACACACACACACACACCATGCTTATGTTTTTCTTCAGTTAATTTTACATCTGGTAGGAACCTCAGGAAGTCATCCAAGCCATTTACACCTTTCCTGAGGCATCACCTAATACCTCTGCCTGGATTCTTCCCTCTGCAAAGAAAGGGAAGGCAGGAAGATAGGGAGAAGGGGAGGAAAGAGGGAACTGGCCCTCAAGCATTGGTCTCGTGGGGTGGCCAGAGGCCTCCATGCAGTAGCTTCCGAGTGTTCATCATTTTCTGTTTTAAAAGGGCAAACATGCATAGGTCCTATACAGGCTCTGTCCACACCCTTGAAGGCAGCTAGGTGGAATCAGCTGACATTGGAATCGGTGTTGAAAGTTGACGGTGCTTGTCCAGGGTTTGCTTGTGAACATGCCACCTTCTCTGAGCTTTATGTGGCCAATCTGACTTGCCCATCTCCTAAGGGAGGATGTGAAGGCAGAAGAGATCATGGATATGAAGGTGTCCCTCCAGTCTGACATCTGCAAGGGACTCTAGGAATCTAGATGTTTTGTTTTACTAATGAGAAAACAGGTCCAGAGACAGGAGGTAACTTGCATGAAGTTGCACAGCCATTTCGGGGCAGAAGAGCAGAACTAGAAGTAGAACTAGGGTATGGTCATTGTGTCATTGTTGCCATATTTTCCCATGTGATTGTTTCGCAAATGGTGAGTGAAGGAACTAGGGAAGTGGAAAAAGGTGACGGTGGGAAGAAAACTTCCGGGAATCTCTCTGGGCAGAGTACTTTCATCAGCCTCTAAAACAACACTGTGACAATACTGTTTCTGTGTGGCTATCTCTCTCACACACACATACAAAACACACATACCACACACACACACACATTTCTTGATTAAATAACAGAAAGGCAATAAGTGCTCTTTATAGGAGAGAATCACACCCCTTTGCACTGATTATGGAGAAACCCACTGGGCATAATTCAGCTTTGCAAGTTAGAACATAAGACAGGAAGGGGTAAAGCATAAAGTTAAAGAGAATCCACTGCCTAAACCACCTTGCACTTGTGGGGCTTAGTGGCCTTGCTCTTGCCTAAAAGCCCCCCACGTTATTATCCCTACTCCTGTCCCACAAATATACACATTCCTGGGCCCCCGGCCCCCAAGCACACATAGGGCAGAACCAAAGAACATGGGCTATAAAAACAGAAGAGGATTGAAAAGCTGTTTCTCAGTAGCACTGTGACCTTGGGCAAGTTACTTAACCTCTCTGAGCTCCAGCTTCCTCATCTGGACAATAATACCTCTTAATATTGTGAGGATTAACAAAGGTAAA